AAACCTTGCCACACAAACCCAACACAGTCAGAAAAGTGAAGTTTTTCTAAGAGCTCTTGGGAGTGATTTAAGCAAGGTAATATGACCATTGTTCATGAAAGGTAGAGGTGTGCATGCACACAAGAGTACTGTATTTAGAATGGTAAAGGAATGCAAGTTTACAGATCTACCTCACCAAAAGTATTTAGGGAGCTTTTCAGGGAGTTGGACTCCATGATCCTTATGGGTCCCTTCCAACTTGAGATAATCTATGATTCTGAGTTCCATAGCAAAGGAACACCCCACATAATATGTGGTCTCACTCATCAGAAGAATGATGAAACATTTCCATTTCAAGCTATAAGGAAAGAGAGAGATAAAAATTATTGTTCTACTTCCTTTATGAGGGGGGTGGGGGCAAAGGATTAATTCTTGCATTCTTGGGAGATACCTTGAAACAGCCATTTGAATATACCACAGACACTACTCAAATGCTTGCATAAGACATTTTATTATGAATGCAATGTATATAGAGATTATTTTTTTTTTTAATTTTTTAATCTGAGGTGCTTATATAAACAGACCCATATTGGTTGAATGACAGTTAGTTTGCAGGGCACGACAGCGGTTGAACACCCTTCAGCTCCAGAGCTTTGCTGAAGTTAATCTCTTGAGGTTTACCAGTACCCCTGGTGAGCTTCAGAAATCGAATACATCCTTTAAAACGGGTATTAGTGGTCAGCCCAAACTGGGTCACACCATCTGAGGGAGGGGAAAAAAAAGGCAGAAAGAATTAGATAAGTCTGAATCAATATTTAAGTTTGTTCTTTGAGGGTCCTGCAGGCGAATAGATGTCCCCAGCAATATATGAATGTTTTACTTGCTATATATCTTCTTTATTCAAAAAATGACAAACATTATGAGTGAATGTGATAAATGCTTATGTTAGTGGTAACAATCCAGTCTTCTTTCCTTTTCCTGTCCTGGCATAACAGTGGCAGAATCTGAACACATTTAAACTACCACTGTAAACCATATAACTCAGTTATGTGACATCATAGAGGAAATTAAGGAAAATGGCCAAATGGCAGCTTGCTACCTACAAATGGTGCATGACGCATACATGCTCATCCCGCAGATCTCCAACTCCTCAAGCTATTTATCCACTGAATAACAGAGCAAAAAAAGGGCCAAAATGGATGCAGTTCTCAGCCCCTTAGCAAAGACATTCATCAGAATGAGATGGTGTCCTCTCACCAGTCCGTGCAAGCTGTTGTCCACATTCCTCAGGCTCTTAGGTTTTACAGGCTGATTTACACACACAATGTCCTACCCCCCCCAAAGCATATATGCATTCTTTAGTTAAATTTAAATTTGCCATTCTTAAATTAAATTTAAATTTGCCAAATGCTTTTACTATTGAAACACAAAGCTTTCTGTTTAATAACAGCATAATAATTAAGAGGAAGGCTCTGAGTGTGTGGGTAGCAGAAGGCAGAGAGTCTGCCTGCTCCTCTTTGACAGAGCCTACCTTTGAGCCCGGGCAGGGGGATCTGTGAGAGTCCCTGGGTGCAGCAGAACTTCTTGTTCCAAAATGCAGCTGGATGCAGAAACAAGCATCCATGCCAACTGATACAAACTTGGACAGTCTTATCCATCATCTTTTGCACACTAGTCCTAATTACATTAAGACATTACCAAGGCAGTGTTGCTAGAGCGTAAAGCATCATTTGTGTGTTAAATGCTCACCAGGATATCCTCCTACAAAGACAGGGTCATTAGTGTCTGCTGAGGTCGAGGCTCTGTTTGGGCTGTTACCGTCCACCTGTCTGTCATCCACAGTCAGCTCTAAACGGTGTTTGATCTTGTTTGCAAGAACCTTGTGCCACTGTCCGTCACACAAGCTGCCTGGTGCGTCGGGCTCATAGATAGCAGAGAATCGGCCTGCACCATTGTCAACGTGAAACATCACCTGAAAAGCATGACATGGAAGTCAGCTAGTTCTCAAAAAAGTTCTACAATTCTCTTTTTTTGTTTGTTTGTTTGGGGTTTTTTTTGTTTATTTAAAGTCAACATGCTCTGACTGCTCAAATTTAATACCAGACTCTATGTGGATAGCTGTCCCTCCGGGATCTGGGTTATGTCACTGAGATAAACACTACTGGAAATACGCAAAATTGTTGTATAGGTTGTCATTTTTCCATTTTTTGTCTTAGTTTTGGGGTGTTTCACCCCCGGCACTCCAAGGTCTTTATAGTGATAGATTACTGACAGATTTTCTGGGCTATGAAATAAAAGATATACACAAGACACTAGTATTATTAATGACAAAGCCTTTCCTCAAAACTATTCATGTTCTCACTAATTTAAGTCCTGATGTTGCAGTTTTAGGAAACTCAAGTGCTAATAGAATCTTAAAATATCTTTGTAAAAGTGTAACGTCTTTTGCTGTATGGGAAGTGGCAAGTGCTGCATAAAGGAGACCCCTGATATTGGCTGAGACACCTTGAGATTGGTGTAGTGAGCTTGCATTTAAACTACCTATGCTTTCTAAAACCAGTCTCTATAAAGAGCCAAAAATGCTTTGCTACTTACTTTTCCATCTACTAATTCAATGCCAAGCCCATCCATTTTCTGGCTGCTCACTCCTAGGAGAACACCATTCATTCGTGTTGTACGGAATTCAAATTCCACCAGCAAGTCTGTTCCCACTTTGTATGCACCAACTTGGAGAGAAAAGGGGAAGCATAATAAAATGAAGAAAAGCATTTCATACATTATTCCTAATAATCACACAAAGTGTGTCGCCAGTAATGTAAGATAACTATCTCAGCATTATTAATGCACTCCATTTCACGTGAAATCATGTAAGTAACTGTTACGGTGGCTCTGCTTAGTGTGAGACCGTGCTAGAAAGTCATAAAGTCTATCCCTAGGCAAGATTACTAAAAATGATCAGCGAGGGTTTCAAGTATTGGTCTCACTTTGCCTCCAGCCAAGAGGAGATCGGTAGCACTGGGTGTTTTTGAGAGCAGCATCTCCTCTTTCTCTGTTCTTTGCCTACCAGCAGAATTGCTGTTCATTACCTGTTTTGGCAAAGCCTGTTCCATCAAAGTACGTTCCTTTCTGCGCAGTTACAAAGCATTTTCCAACATTGAAGCTGGACGTTGGATTATCCAGGTCAACAGGTGATTCTGTCATTTTAAAATTTCTGATGCAGCCATCGATGCTATAGGTGACCTGCAGTCAATATTTCAAACAAAACATGTAACTCTGCAAAGCAAGCTGAAGAAAAAAGGCCTAAAGTATGTCATCAAAAAGCACCTTTTCCTCTGTTTCTCTGCTGGATTTATGGGGCTGCATAAAACTTGAATTTTACATGGCTAATCCTTAATATCTGATTGTAATTGGAATCTAATCTCAGCCACACTGAGGATGAATTACATTACTTTTCAGGGATGTCATCTAAGTCACATCTATTTGGCTTAATGGAGGGGACATAAAATAATACACTGCATAATGAAACATAGCAAATTACATCAGCAATGCAGGAATTTAATGGCCTATACTTTACCTTTTTAATTGACTAGGTTATGGGGTTTGTGAGTAGATGAAGATATTGGATATAGTTCTCTGGGCTGCTGGTAATTTTACTAGGGTTCCCCCCC